TTCTTCTTCTTCTTCTTCTTCTTCTTCTTCTTCTTCTTCTTCTTCTTCTTCTTATTATTATTATTGTTATGCATATTATATTCAAATGCGATTTAAACTTCATGTCTGACAATAGAGTTGTGAGTTAAATAATATTATATCTTTATTTCTTTTAACGACAGCATTGCTAAGTAATTTTGAAAGGAATTAAGTGGAAGTAAGTTCACGCTCTAGTCATCGTATTTAATTGAATTTTGATAAACGTATTTCTATTTGTTAATTTGTATATATTCATAAAATATTATTCGGACTCAATTCTAATAATTTACAGTCCTTTACTGTTTTTACTTTAATAGGTCAATAGTTTTTAAAAATCTGTGTACTTAAGGTTTTTCTCGTTGTTTGTTAGCTAATTTTCTAAGTAATTAGCTGTTGTATAATAATATGTATAGCCAGGTTTTATCATCTATCTATCTATCTGTTTGTATATGTTCCGCGCAATTTACCGATCTGCTTGGCGCTCATATGACCTTATGCAGTTGCGAGCGCCGTAAAACCTCTACTAAAACTAAACTAAAAACTGACCGATCTGCGCAATCTTAAGATCGCGTTTTTACGATCGAAAGATTGCGCGGCCATCTTAAGATTGCGCGGCCATCTTAAGATTGCGCTGGGCGTTTTAACAATGGTATATTTGCGCGGCAATCTGAAGATTGTGTTAATATTTTATACATGTATTTTTGAAAAAAACCAAAAACATTTCCATCTTTTAAAAAAAATTCACATCACATACGTTTTCAAAAGTGTAAAAATATGAAAATTAAAATTAACATTTTAAACTGAAGAGTTCACAAGTATGATACAAAGCCAGGTATCAAACTCAAAGTTCACGAAGTACATACAAGAATAAATAAAGATGGAACTGACTTTTTAAAAATTATTAACAAAATATAAAATAAATCTTAAGATGGCCGAGAGAGAGGGTTTACATCGTAAAAACGCGCTGCGCAATTAAGATTGCGCAGATCGGTAAATTGAGCGGAACATATGTATGTATGTATGTATGTATGTATGTATGTATGTATGTATGTATGTATGTATGTGTGTATGTGTGTATGTGTGTACGTATGTACGTATGTGTGTATGTGTGTATGTGTGTATGTATGTATGTATGTATGTCTGTGTGTATGTATATATCTGTCTGATTGTCTGTCTGTCTGATATATATATGTATATAAAATATATATTTATATATATATATATACATATAATATATAATTTGTTCATTTCTTTGATTGTTTATTTTCTACAGTTTTTAAAATATGTAATTAATTTCGAAACAGCTTGATTAACTCATGGTGAAAATGTATACTCCTCAGAACAACAAGCAAAATGTACACAACACCACAACAAACCCGAGACAGTGGCTACTGGGGCTCTAGAGAAAACTCAAGTTCAAGTCTACAGAACGGCCACGCCCATCACTCTGGCAACGGTCTCGTTATTCGGGCCGGAATACGGCCAATGGGAATGGCTGGTAACGCGACTGCCGCAACCTTTCAAGACCAAGAAGAAGGAACAAAGAATCTTTTCGACCAAAATGGCAGCTACATCGGCAACGTAGCTGTGGGGGACTTGCTTCCTACTCCCAAAACTTTTGAGATTTTAGTACAGAATCATGCTGGCAAACAGTACAGACCGAGAGTTCAAGCTGACTTCACAGTTCTGCAGTTGAAACAGATTCTGAGTGAGAAATGGGGAATTCCCCCAAGCCAGCAAAATCTGGTGTATGCTGGGAAAAACCTGAACGACGACCTCACGCTGGGATCGTACAAAATGGAGAACATGCTGGCCACGAACGGAAAAGTTTTCCTTACGACAAGGCTAAGAGGAGGATAACTCCTGCAAAAGACTTTATGCCCTTGATAAAATATCCTGAGGGCATGTTGGTTGGGCCTAATCTAAATCTCTGTTATTTATATATTATACATCATGGACTGATGGATACCAACAGAAAATAATTGACTTTGACTCTAAGTGTGATGAGATTATAGCAATTATATCAGTTATAGAATGAACACATGCAAAGTGTATCACAGAAATGTAAAACACTAGCTTGACGTTATTGGTTTGAGTAAATAAACATAAAGCACTTAGACACAGCATGGTCTCGAAGTGTTTGAAACTAGCAAGAAAGATCAGTAGAAATAAGGGTTGACTAGTATTGAAACAAGGCCTCCAGTTGCGCCTGCCTGCAACTGCCAGCAAAATACTGAAGTACAAGAAATACGGGTGAAAAAAAGGAAACAGATGGAAGTTACTCTGTGGCAAAAGAAAAGTATTACGTGCTTAGAGTTTAGAGAGATGCAGAAACTGTTTGGCCTCTTGAAGTGACTGCACCGTGCACAGTGCACTGTCAATCATGATTAACCTACATAATATGTGAGGCGTGCTGACAAAATGATTTACTTCTCACAATCCATAAAAGGAGATATTGACCAAAAATCGACACTTGGGTCAAATTTCTAGGTTTGTTATTGATGCAGTATTCATAAAGTAGTAAATGCCTTTTGCTATTTCATACTTACAAATGATAAAAACTGCACCTCTAAGCATGATGTATCTATTTCCATAGAGCCCTAATCCGAGAAGTAACTCATTTAGTCAGCACACTCCACATATTATAATACGACATACTACTTGCAGTATTCAGTGTGTCGGCCGGCGCGACAACGGTCCAATTTCCTCGGGAACAAATCAAGACAAAACTGAAAATATGTAGAAGAGGTGGACCAATCTTGGACACTAAAAAAGACCACTGACTTTGACAGACAGGAGCTCTACTGTTATACCTGCATAACCTTCTTTGAAATAATTTCTGTATGTGTTTGGCTTAGAACCAGGTTTGAACTAAGAATCAATCCGTTGCAACCAGTGAGACATTGTACAGAACCTGCTTACATAATAATATTATTATCGTATGTATTTCACTGAGAAAGAACTGGATTAAACTTAGAAGCGAATCCTTCCTATCCGTGAGACATTGAACAAACCATGTGTATAATAAATATATTATTGTAATTTGTGTCTGACTTAAACCGGCATTTGACTTAGAATCAGATCATAACAACCACCGAGAAATATGGTCCAGGACCTACTTATATATTATACTGTGGTATGTGTTTGACTTTGAACCGGATTTGACTTTCAACCGAATTATTACAACTGGTGAGACTTGTTGTACAAGTGCGGTGCCAGAGAAGAGATTTCTTCACATGACGTTATGACGTTCTTACGTAGAGCGCTCTGTAAATGTGCCACGTAATAGCTTTCCTCCCCCCCCCCCAACCCCACTTCCCCCATAACACACCCACGACCCTCCCCACCAGCATACTCTCTTTCCGAAAGGGAGAGAGGTGTGGGATAGTTAGGGATATGTACAAACTCGAGATAAGAGATTCAGACACTTTATGAATCTACGTGTTTTCTTATAACATACCGTACATGAACTGTTGTTTATATTGATTTGCTTACTGCTTGTGTGTGAATGCTGATATAAATTATACGAACTCTTTAGAATTTTATGTTGGTATTTTTAATCGAGACTTGATGTTGCAAAATGATATGTTCATGAAAGGGGCTGTATTTTAACTTAACTTTCACAAATGTTTTGTCATCATTATTTTACAAGTCACTTTTATTGGTAGTAGGGCCTTCTTTATACGATTAAGATGCTTAGAGAGGAATAAAAAACAAAATTTGCATAACGTTGAGTTCACATTTTCTTAATAGAACTTTTAACCTTAAGCGTATTGTGCCAATCGGGTCGGTCATATTTTATAAAGAAACCTGCCTGGAAGTAATATTCACCAGAGTATGAATATTGACACGGCCAAGACGAGAACAGAATAATAGTGTTAAAAATATCACAAAATAACAGCAATATAAATACATCTTGAGAACAGATCTCTATTTTTAGCGCCAGGTAATGATTACATGGCTGTACGGGTTACTGGTGAATCGAAAAGGAGTTCCGTCATAGCGGGTTTTCCCGTCTTGCCACGTAATCCTGGAAAGACATAATATTGTTGTTGTGGTGCTGTTGTTATTTCTGCAAATGTCACTGACATTTTACATCCCTATTACTAACCACCACGTAGACCATTTTGAGGGGGAGCCTCTAAGTCCTAATTCTAGCTTGGATTTGAACCTGGAACTCTAGCGTTGTAGGTCTTCGTCGGGTCAATTTCAAACGTACGGCACTGCACCATTGCAGTCGATACCAACCTCTGTTGTGACAACAGCGATATAGTAACAGAAGCTACACTCTGAACGAACGCTACAAGAGCAAGTGGATAATAAAACCATCATCATCATCATCATCATCATCATCATCATCATCATCATCCTCATCAACAACAACAACAACAACAACAACCACAGCAACAACAACAACAACAACAACAACAACAACAACAACAACTACATGAGAGGAAAAATTTAATAAGAACAAGTGTCTGCTGCAACTTACGAGTTCGGCAGTCCCTTCCAGAATATCCGGGCGCACAGCCACACACATCAGGCGTGACGCAGGTCTGCCGATCCGGACAGGATACATTGCACTCAGCTGAGAATTGAGGATAGATCTTCGAGGAACTCTTCTTCTTCTTCTTCTTCTTCTTCTTCTTCTTCTTCTTCTTCTTCTTCTTCTTTTTTTTCTTCTTCTCTACCACCTCCTTGAGCCTCTTGGCTAGGTTACAATCAACAATTCATTTGATATACCATGATGTGCTGTTTTCCTCACTGAGCAGTTATTAAGTCCTTCGACTTCGAGTCTAAAACAATCAGTATAAGTAACCTTTTAGAAATGTCGCAGTGTAATAATAAGTACATGTATATCATAGCATAGTAGGATATGGTACTGATCTGATGCTTTTTCAACACTGTAAAGCTATGCAAAAATAGGGTCCTTTGGTCTTGGTCTGACGCCTTTTCAACACGGTAAAGTTACTCAAGAAGAGGGTCCTTTTTATTTAACGTCCATCAACATGTCTGAAAAATACAGGTGGAGAGCTTTAAAAACTCCGATTAAACTCCCTTTGCAAAACTGGGTCATCATACACGATGCCAACTAAACAGCTAATGGCACGCACACACTAACTAGTACTCTTTTGATTCTCTTTGTGATACACTCGTCCTAAAAGACTCACGCGTGCACGTGCGACCATCTCCTTTGTAGCGAGCCGGACAAGGTCCGCACTTGTATCCAGGGGGCTCTTGGATCTCCATACACCGACTGACCTCTGAGCACACTCCGTCCCTACAGGCAGGTATAGCTGGGGAAAAGGACAGTGTTTGCTGAAGGCAATGAACAACTAATGATAGTTACTTAAACTTTCCATCTAACATACTGGTTTATAGTGCAGATACAAGTGTTTGTTTTCTTAAAAGAAACTTATCTAATCCAACGTGTACTAGTATGGTTCCCCACCTCACTCACTGAAGGTATTGCCTGTAGGACAAGGAAGAAAAGTAAGCAATTTTGCTGCCTTAAAAAAGTAAGAACATAAATTATCCTTCACAACCACATTCAAGTATCCCATTGTCTGGCTGACCGTTGGGGTACCACTGTAAATATTACAGCCAGCTTCTTTCACTCCATCTGGTTCTCAGACTCCTGCAGTAAAATGTTCCAGTCCTATTAAGTTACAATCCTCCCCCCCCCCACCCCCAACAAAAAACACAACAACAACCCCCCCCCCCCCCAAATAACAACAGCCAGAGTTCATTTTTGCTATGAATGACTATGGGTCAATTGACCCGCTCAGGCCAAAATCAATGGGTCAATGTTGTGAGTGATGGGCCAAGTTTGTTGGCAGCGTGCATGGAGAGTTGTGCTCGGTTGTTTTTGTCATGTAAGTGTTTTACGGAGAAATAGTGGATAAATGGCTTACCAACAATGTCTGCTTGTGAGGCTTGAACCTCCCACCCCTGCCCCCCCCCCTTGACTAGCAATGACAATAAAAAAAAATTAAATGTTTAACCAAATTGCTTAAAAACAGGCTTAAATGAAAATAAAGTTAGAACTATGGTTTTTAAATTCTAAATTTTAGAAATCCATTGATGAATAAAAAAGCTATTAGGATTTTTGATCGCAAAATTTTGGGGAATTTTCATAGAGGAAATATCGCCAAAAAGTGGGATATGTCATGATGTATTTTGAGGAAAAACTGTTCATAAGTCAGTAATGAATTAGAAGCATATGAATGAAACTTGACATCTTCAAGCGATTTTTAGTGCAGAATCTAGTTCTGCTATCATTTTTTTCGATGTCTTTATTACTTTGGATCTTAAAGACTAATATTTGCGTGCAATTTGTTGGATTGCGTGACATAATTTTTTCTGCGACCGATCACCCGTACTAAAACTCAATTTAGCGGTATCGGCAAAACCCGCAATGAAGTCATCGGTGACATATTTAGTTATAGGCAGCCAATCATATGCCGCCAAGCAATCAGGCACCTCTCGCATGCCGGCACCTCACGTTTCGAATCCGTGATCAAGTTTCAAGCTCTAGTGTTTTATCAATAGATGGGTGGTCATTTAATAATAATAATAATAATAATAATAATAATAATAATAATTGCATTTATATAGCGCATATCCATGCTCAAGAGCTTGCTCTATGCGCTTTACAACTATTATTACCCCAGCAGACCCTCTGAGAACACTCAGAAACATTTTCAGCTTCCGCGGAAGCATACAGTGCAAGCTGCGGATTTCACGCGCTCAAACACTATCAAACTGACAAGATCTTTCACCGTCTATAGCTGGGTACCCATTTCCACCTGGGTGAAGTGAGGAAAATTTGTGCAAAGTGCCTTTCCCAAGGACACAACGTCGGGCCAAGTTGGAAACGTAAAATGTACTGCACGCAGAAATCCGAAATTTTACAGCAATAAAGAAGACATGTGGGGCGCCTGTGTAAACAATGCGCCCATTGGCCCAGCGCAAGCGCAATCAATTGTCAATTTGTCACTTTCTGACCCAGTGGGCCAATTGGCGCGGGGCGCGTGTCGAAAAATTAACCATGAACAGCAACAAACAAACACGCTTCAGCAAAACAACTGATGCTCCTTTTTTGTAAGCATTAGAAGGCATCTTGGTATTTTGTTCTTCTTAACATTACATATGTGAGACAGCGTGGTGGAATCAGGCTCTCGTCAAAATAATCAAAGTGAAGAAACTTGCATTTTTCTGCAGATTTATGAATTTTTATAAAATTTTTGTTTATTGGCTCAACACCTTTCATGCCCATTAAAAAACTCATTTCTGAGAGGATTTTTCTTAAAAACGTTGATTAAAGGCACAAAAAATGTAAATTTTCAGTGACAACGAACTCTTAAGCTAAGAAAATAACTATTCTTTGGTGGCCATTTTCTCACTAATTTTACCTCTGAAAACAGGTGACCCCCACCTCCATCATTCGCAAATATCTCGACTAGCATTCAAGATAAATTGATATTTTTTCCATTCAAATAAAGACAAATTAACAAGCTATAAAATGATACCGATAACTCTACATGCCCAAAAATTGTCGAGAGTCTGATTCCACCACGCTGCCTCACATATACTTCTTCGGCAATTTACATCCCTGTCTTCCTGTAGGCCAGTGAGACAATTCGCTACCTGAGAATTACAAAGTTCTATATAATAATATGACATTTTACGCCGTTTTGAGTTACTAAGACCATGAGGTCAGAAAGCAAATGCTGTGTCTGCTCAGCTGCTCTATCAAAATCGTAAGATCGCAAAAACATTTGAAATAGTTACCAAGGTATTAAAGGAATTGCTTTCGAAAAAGCTTGACAAACTGGGAAACTAAAAAATTCTGACGTCAAATTTGTCAAAACTAAGTACTGAGTGGGTAGAACTTAAAAAGTTTGAGGTGGCAAATAGCCTACGAATTAAAACAACACCAGAAAACTGGAGGTTCAATTTTAAGGGGAGTCCCCAGTTATTTTGGGGGTTAAAAATGTTTTCCCACGTTCTGCCTGATGGCAAGCATAACGTTCCGACTCTGAAATAACATTTTCTGTGTACAGCAGTAAGTTGGACTTGGTCAATATTATTCGACCACAGTAAACGTTTAGTAACACCGTCTTTACAACTTATTCTTTGACAAACTCACAGTGTTGTGCTCAAACTTACCGTCTCTGGTACATCGCTTTCCGTCGCCTGAGAAGTACTTGGGGCATGGCCCACAGACATAGCCCAACCGAGACGAGGGGAGGTTTGAACACACTACCCCCGGGAAACAGGGTCTCTCGGTGCAAGGGCTCAACCCTGTAATTTGTAATGTAATGCATTGTAAGAAATGGGAAATGTAGAGAAACGACCCTCCCACCCCCTTACCGACTCTCTTCAACTTCATATTTTGCCTCCTGCTCTTCCGTTTTCTTTTATTTTCTTTCTTAATACGGTGCTTTTGATTTCTGCTCGTTTCCTTTATACTTTCTTTCTTCCTTTCTATCTTTCTTTTTTCTTTCTTTCTTTCTTTCTTTCTTTCTTTCTTTCTTTCTTTCTTTCTTTCTTTCTTTCTTTCTTTCTTTCTTTCTTTCTTTCTCTATGTCTATCACTTTTCCCCTTCTTTCTATGTTTTTTTTCTCTTTACCTTTCTTCTTTCTTTGCTTGTTATCTTGTTTGTCTGTTTGTTCGTTTGTATTTGTGGGTTTTGTTGATTTTCATTTTCAGTTTACTTTCGTCTTTCTTTTCCTTCCTACTGTCTCTCCTTTTCTTTTTCTACATTCTCTTCTTGTTACGATACAATATTTCCATCAAACCCTTCCTTCCTTCATTCTTTCTTTCCTTCTTTCTTTCCTCGTTCTCCACAACATGTTTGTTCCCATCTTTATTCCTTCTGTCTCTTCTTTCTGCCGTCGCCTGCTTATACCTACCAACACATCGGATACCGTTGCCTGTATATCCTGGAGGACAGGGCCCACAGCGGAACCCGCCTGTTTCACTTGAGCAAGAGACGTTGGGGAAACATGGCTGTTCGGCGCAGAAATCTTTCATTTTGTTGCAACGGTCTCCTGGGAATTAGAGATGGCATGATTTTTGGTGTGTGTGTGTGTGTGTGTGTGTGTGTGTGTGTGTGTGTGTGTGTGTGTATGTGTGTGTGTGTATGTG